AGCAGTGGCTTCCCAAATTAGGAACCAAGGACCTAGATTCCTTCCCTTTTTGGGCTCTACCATCTTTCACATCTGGCTTCTAAGCTCCAGGATATCATGCTAGACAGAAAAAGAGGCAGAAGCTGAAGGGTCTAGTGCCAGGGCTCTGATGGTCCAGCCTAGAAATGCCACACAGCGCTTTGTATTTTTCCCACAGAACTCAGCACATGGAGGGCCTGAATGCACGGAGACTGAGAAATGTCGTCTAGCTGAGTGTCCAAGACGTGCAAATGTGTTTGGTGAGTAGCTAGCCTTCTACTGAACATTGTCCAAGGGGAGCCCTGAATATCGCTCCTCGCATTACAAGTGGGATTTGACATATTCCTGGTATCAAAGGACTTGTCCAACTACGGATAAAATCTGGCAAACACTGCGATTTGCCATCTCTGTCTTTTGTGTATATTAATGGCTATGTTGAGATATTTTGGCTTCAAAATATTTCAGCACTGAGGACCTGAATTTATTATGCTAAAACTTGCCTGTGTTCTTGGCTGCTAGGGCTGAGCCCTCTGTTTAATTATGAGCAACAATGACCTTCTGAATGTTTCCCCTCAACGCGAATCATGACATCCTCTTCTATACACTTTCAACCTATTTATGCCATGCTGGTACGACAGACACATGTCATCAAGACACCAGCGAGGACATTTATTAAAGTCACTTTGAAGATAAGAAAGATAAGATGGCAGAGTTGCAATTCTTTCTGAAAGTCAAATCATTATCAGATTTGAGATATGCTCTGTTATGTGCCAGGAACAATGTAAAATACACACGTTCCTCTGCCATTCAGTGAGTTTGTTTTGTCCAGGGTAGGACTCAGGAGTCCACTTCTAACTAGACATTTTTGAGAGATAATAGAATTCTGGATTGAAATATCTTTCAGCACTCAGAAAAAACTGTCAGTTCCTAGTGGTCTTCATGCTTTCTGATGGGGCATCTGTTATTCAGTCGCGTATGTTTTCTTCCTCACTGTAAGCTGTCATTTTTTATGGTTGCTCTCAAGATTTTATTTTTATTTTTAGTTCCCATAAGTTTAATTTTGATATGCACTGGTATGGATTTGGGGACTTCTTTTGAACATATTTTGAGCCTTTTGAATCTGTAGGTTAAAATCCCTTACAAACTAAAGTTCATAAAACTCTTCATAAAGGAGTGTTTCAACCATTATTTCTTCAACATGTATTTTAGCCTCACCCTCTTTCTACTCCTCTTAGGATTCTGGTGACCCAAAAGTAAAATCTTTTAGTATAGCCCCCCTGGCACCTGAAGATTGCTTGCTTGCTTGCTTTCTTTCTTTTCTTTCTCTCTTCATTCAGCTTGTCTTCTCTCTGCTGTTCCTATCGGATACTACCACTTTATACAATCTCTTTTCTGTTGTTATTGACCAATTCCTTTTATTCTCTTCTGGTTCACAGATTCTTTCCTCTGTCCCCTCCTGTGCCAATTAATATTGATTATCAACTGAACTAGACTAAGGGACCACTGGAGAAATGATTGGATTGTGAGGGCGATAAGCTATGGACGAACCCATAGACTCGGTAGCTGAGTGGCTACTGGGAGTTGACTTAGTTGGAGAAAGTGAATCATGGGGTGAGTCCTTGTGGACTGTATCTGACCCATGGTCCCTTCTTCCCTGGCTCTTACCAACTCAATCTTCTTGTGCCATGATGTCTTTACCCGGGGCAGTCTGCCACAGACAGGAACCTCTGAACCCATGAGCTAAATGAACATTTCCTCTTTTAAGATGTGAATGTCAAGTATTTTATCTCACCGATGGGAAAGATGACAGCACAGCCACATTCTGCTCTCAAGCCCATCTTCTGAGCCTTTTATCTTGTCTGTTTTATTCATTAAGTTCATTGGTACATTTTAAGTATACATTGTGATTGCATCATTGGGAATTTGTACTTTTAAGTTCTAAAAATTCCATTTGTTTATTCTTTATATTTTGTAAGTTTTGCTAAGGCTTTTTGTGTGTTTGTTTCAGGGATGTGCATAGCTGCTTGTTCAAGTATTTTTATGTTTAAAATCTTTATTAAAAATTAAAGAGCCGGCCATGGTGGTGCACACCTGTAATCCCGACACTGAGGCAGGAGGATCCCTGTGAGTTCGAGACCACCCTGGGCTACATAGTGAGTTCCAGGTCAATCTCAACTACATAGTGAGACCCTGTCTCAAAAAACAAAACAAAATAAATAAATAAAAAAAATCTTTATTATGTAATTCTAACATCTTGATCATGATAGTGTTCACATCTGCTAAGTGTCATTTTTTAAAGTTCAGTTTGACATCCTCTTGGGTGTTGCTTGGGTATTTTTCATTGAAACCTGAGCATTTTCATATGAAGATGTGAGACTCTCTATCTTGATTTACCTGGCCTTTGAGATTGCTCTGGCAGGGGAGGTAAGGGAGGTTGGAGGATATCACCAATGCAATTTACAAGTCCAAGTATTCTACCTCCTAAAGTGAAAGTTCCTCATTACTGTGGTACAGGCATGCTTGTTACAGCTTGTTTCAACTGGGATTGGCTGTTCTGTCAGTGAGCAAGGCTGAAGGTCTGACTCTCTAGCAGTTTCCTCTGACATCACTCCATCAGGGAGGGGGAGAGGGGCTCATTGCAGGAGGGGAGAGTGCAAGCCCAGGCCAACATGGAATTCCCCTACATCATGGGATACCGAGAACCAGTCTGCCTTCTTTTCTCTTCAATATATTATATACAGGAGTTTTATTTTATTTATATTTACTGGGGGAATTGCAAACTGTTTCTTCATTCCAGCTACTACAATAGGAAGTCTACACTTTATGCAGGATTTTGACATGATCAGATCTGTGCTAAAAGGACCGCTCTGATTTTTCTTGAGGATAACTGGCCATGCAGGTAGATGAGGGTGGAGAGGAGCTGTGGAAACAGTGAGACCAGGAAGAAAACTATGCAGGCTTTCGGTTTAGAGTAGCTGTGGAAAAGATGCTGAGAAGTGGTCAGATTGTACATATAGAGCCAGATGGAAACATGCACACACGCAATGAAAAACTGCAATGGATCTGATGAATTTTTTTAGAGTATAGGGAATATTCCAGAACATGCCCAGTAAATTAATTTTCTGATACATGTGGCAAATTGGAGTTTTCTTTTCTCAACCCTCTTTTTTCCTATCTTCAGAAAGTCTTAAGAGAGATAACAAATAGAAATGAAATCTTCCCCCTGCAAAATGTGGCAGTAGTTATGCATTTAGGAGTAGGCCAATGTTAGTAGGAAAAAAAGAAAGACTCGTCTTGAAGATTTTACATCTCCAATCTTGGAAAGATGAAGACTTTCTCTTTTATTGGCAGGGTAGACAAGATCTAGGTTCCAGTATAAGTCTGGAATGTGGCAATGGCTTGGTGAATATTTCTTAGAGTTCAGAGGTAGCTGTGAGTATGGGGTAGGGGAGTGAAATAAAGGAATGAGAAAGAATGGCCAGTGACATGCCTCTATTTATTTCATAGTCTGAGTATTTGGAAATGTAATGATATAAAAAGGTTTTGCAACATTTTCTGAATTCTGTGTTTCATTCACATACTGGGAAATGATACTCAACATCTGCAAATTCAAGGCAGAGAGACTTAATTTGGCTCATGTTTCAGGGGGTTCAGTCCATGGTCACTTGGCTCCAAGGCAGGAATACCATGGCCGAAGGGTGTGGTGGAGCAAAGCTGCTGAGTTCATAGTAGCCAGGAAGCAGAGCAGGATAAAGAAGCAGAAAGGAAGGAGTCAGGGACTACAGTCAGGGACTATGTATATATTATAACTTAGTACTAAAAGTCTGGACTCCTAAGCCCATCCATACACATCCAGAAATGTGCTTTACTAATCTCCTAGGCGGCACCTAAGCCAATCAATTTGATAACTAACCCCAAGTGGCACCTGTCACACATGTGCTATTTTATCTGCGTGCAGTGGGACTGTCTTTGCTCACTCTCCTGATGTTATGAGCAAATTGAAGGGATATTCATAATTTTATTGGAAGTTGCCTTCTATAACTTGCCACCAAAGGAACTGCAAGCGTGTTTTGAGATAGACTGTAGAAGATCAAAGATTATAATCCAAGGAGGGAAAAAAAACTATGGATCAAAGACCAAAACTTGCCAATGAGATATAGTAATTGAATCATAGATTTGGTTTTAAACTTCCTGGACCCTTGAGTTATGGCCAGCTTGACTTACAAACAACTTGGGTTATGACCAGAATTTTACTTTTAACTTAGGACCAAAGTCATGAGTTCTGACCTTAATGCCAGCCACTTGTGCTTCCAGATGGTCTCAGATACAGATTTAACCCTTAAAGAATGCTGGAAGGACACAATCCTTGCCCATGTGGGTTAATTAAAAACTCCTGGGCCAGTGTCTCTCCAAGGACACCGAGATTTGCCTAGAAGAAAGTGTGGCCTAAAACTACACAGGAAAGAGACTTTGAAAGCAATGACCAACTTGAGTTACAAACAGCCCTCTGGAACCAATTGAGTTCGTAAGTCAGGGGTCCACTGAATTGGAAAACAGAGAAGCAATGGGGTGTGACTCCTTAGGGGAAGTCTCAGAAGGCAGATGAGCCTGCCAAACACTCTCTTTTGAATCACTTGCCCTGGAGAAACTCAGCTGCTCTGCCAGTGAAGTACCCTCGGAGGAGGTAGGTGAGGCAAGGAACCAAGGTCTGGGGCCAGAGCTGTATGATCAAGCTGCCTTGAGCACAGACCCACAGCCCCAACAGAGCCTGACGATGACCATGCCAGCCCTGAGCTCCACCGCCCAGCTGAGCTCTCTCCGCGGATAGTGCGCAGTGCCCAAGCAGCGAAGTTTTCAGGTACTACATCATCAGCATACACAAACTGGAGCACACTGTGCGTTCAGGGTGCACAGATAGTGTGCGTGAGGTTTGAACGTACTTTTGAAGAAGAGACTTTATTATGTGAGAGCCAGGACTTTCGATTCAGAACTGTGTGCTCAGGAGTGCTCTGGAGCTGGCCTTCCAGGGTTTCACTCCTTACTCCGTCTTCCTAGCTTGGTCCCCAAATAGTTCGTTCAGCCTCTCAGGCTTCCATACTCTCTTTCTAAAAATAAAGATGATAATTAATCATTGTAAAATGCTCATTAAAGTGTCTGGAACATGGAAGGCAGGAAATAAACGTTAGGCATGGCTATTTCTGTAGCTGTGTCACCTTCCGTTCAGACCGTGATTTAAGTTTCCAAAACGCTGTGCACTTTATCAGAGAGCAAGGGGCCTAGTTTGCAGGGGCCGCTGACGAGCAGGAAGACCTGTCTTCTGGCCTTTGGCACACAACTCAGGGTAGCCTTGGGACTAGGATAGTTTTTGTTGTTAAATATTGTCACAAGAACAACTTCAGATACCTTATCTTGGAGCCAAATTAATAAAATGTTTCTCTTTTTTTGGCAGCCTAACTCTCAGTGAACAGTCCTCTGAAATCTTAAAGAAAATTTCTCTACTTTTAGTACCTGATAGATTAACTTCTCAAAGAGTTTTGTCTCCAGTGCTATACACCCTGGCCCGTAATACTCTCTTTACAGACTGGTTAATGTTTATAATAATTTTACAGGGATTTGAAATACAAAACACAAAATAAAATTTAAATTTAGAGAAACTTTTCTTACAGCCACCTTTCCTGCTTCAGTGAGGAGAATCAGTCCTACCCCCGTCCACCTGTCCTTCACTAGCAGCCGTGAGCTTTGAGAATAAACCCAGGCAGAGTTTAGTGCACAAAATCACACCGGCAAGGGCTGTGCATCTTGCTGGGAGGGGAAAGAACAGTCTACCACTCTTGGAATATTTTCTAATTTTTTGAGCCTAACCTTGAAATAGCAGAATAAATGAGAAGAAAAATTTAAAATTTTTGCTGGAGAAATAAAATACAAAAAAAAAAAAATGCATCAGGAGCAGGTCTTTCCTGCTAAGAGTAGGGAGGGCAGATCTTCACCGTGTTTATCAGAAGGTGGTGAGGATAAAATGAAAGCATGTTGAGCTGCGTGTACTTTTAAATATAGTCGAGAATGACACTGTTCAAGAGATGCGGTGAATCAGAAACACACAACTGGGTGCCTTTGTTTTGTGGGGAAAGTCTTTCCTTCATTAAAACTGACACTGTTTAGAAAATCCAAATGTCACCTCTAATCACAGTGCACTTTAAGTCTAATCTATTCGCTTCAAAGATTTCACTGAAATCAGTCTGACTGTGTTGTGTCATTTTTTCCTAGGATAAAGCCTTTAGCAACTGCATTTCAAATTCTTTCTTGATAGAAATTGTAGAAAAGATGAAATGAAGAGAGGAAACCACTTGGGAAAAAAATATACCCTTTTTTAAGAAGAAAAGATTTTGAAATGAATTACTATAGTTACGTTTTTCTATAAATAGAGGTAAAGGTAGTTTCAACTTTATAGGGTTGTTATGAAGAGGAGTTATTATTTTGAGTTAATATCAATAATTGAGAACAGTGTCTTGCACATAATTCATGTTATATAAGTACTTGCTAAGTGCATAAATATAATAATTCTCAGGATGCAATAATTCAGGGTAGAAATAAATGTTAATTTTAGTGTTCCAAGTCAAGGATAGGTGACCAGCAGTTTTCTAAGATCATAGTAGGGACATTTATTCATATGTTCATATATTTAACTTATATATGTTGACCAAACCTCACAGACTGGTCTGCCAAGATATTATAGCGCAATGTAACACTAGAGGCTTTGCTTGGGTGTTGAAAATGCTTTGTTCTATCCTTTGTTATTTTTTTCTTTCCAACTGCTTGGTTCTGGGAGATGTTTTTAGATTTTTCTTTAGAGGGTTGATATTAAGTTTCTCTTACCAGAATGTGCCTTAGACTTACTATATTGCTTATTTAATTATCAAAACACAACATTAACACGATGTACCCCCAACACACTCACAAATGTACCTACTTATGCAGACACCACAGTGCTTCCTACCTGAATGTGGGGGAGTTTCTACTGAGCTTTGGGTTTCTTGCTCATGGGAATTCGTTTATCTTCTAGGGTGATTATTTAAGATGAGATCTGGTGCATTCAGGGTGTTATGGCTGTAGACTAGGGTGATTATTTCATTAAAGGAAATAATGCTTGGGTACTCTGATTCTTTCTGGAATGAGTTTAAACTTTCTGTGATAATTTTAACAAGTCATATTTGCTCTAGGCTTTATAGTTCACAAGCACTTTCTAGAAATTATATCATGTGCTTCCCGTGACAGTCTGATTCTCATAATATGATTACTATTATTCAATTGTTATCTGATGAGGCCACAGGTAAGAGAGAAAATTGAGGGTCAGAGACTGAAATATTTACCCCAATATCAGCACTATTTGTGGAATTGAGGGTTCTCAAACCTAATCTCTTTCCTATTTAATTCATTCAGTTACTCAAGGTTTCATCTTAAAAGTAGAATCAAGGCAAACAATTAGAGATGGCTAGCAGTATATTTATTCTTTTACATTTTATCTTCTGTCTATATTTGCTTGAAGTACAAATTTGAATATTACTTAGTTAAATGTAAATGCCTTTGGACTGAGGATTTTTTTTTTTCCAGATCTTATGACTGGCAGAATTCTAAAGATGTCTTCCGAAATTCCCATCCCTTTGTTATCCAATCTAGGTACTGCTGCAGAGGCACTTTGCAGATGTAATTGAGGTTACTGAGCAGTTGACTTTACAATAGCGATATTACCCTTTACTTCTTGGGTGGGCCCAGTGTAATCACGTGAGTCCTTAAAAGCCAAAGAGGACGTGCAGTAGCAAGTCAGAGGGGTTGAGGGTGCAATGACTCCAGGCACCATTGCTGGACAGGAGAGGATGAGATGGGGGAAGCAGGAGGAGGGATTCTGGCCTCAAACAGTGGACTGAGCCACGGAGAGAATTACAGCTGGGGCTGAGTCTTTGGTTTCAGTGTGGAGAGGCTCTGGGCAGAGAACCCAGTCAGGCTGTGCCAAGATTTTGCTAATAGAACTGTGAGATTTAAAAAGCATGCGTGCTGTTTTCACTCTCTAAGTTTATAATAATTTCTTATGCAGTGACACAAAATGTGTGTGGATCTGTGTGTCTGAAGTCTACAGAGTTCAGAGTAGGACAATGTGATCTTTTTCTTCACCGCACTACTGTCCGTACTCAGAAGACCATTTTCCTGCACACAGACATGAAAAGTGGCAGTCTCTCCACACATCACTAACAAAAAGTACATGGCTCCAGAGGGTTCTAAATGGCTTTTTTTGCAGTGTTTCAGGAAATTTTACTATTCCTTGGGCAGCAGTGATATTGCTTTACTTGTAAATGAAAGGACTTTGAATCCCTTGGGAAGTCATGCATTTGGTGCCTCTGGCAGTGCTGGTATTTACCAGCTGGTCTATGTACTGTTTTATCTGCTGTGCTCTGAACAGACCACACGTTTCTTCTCACTCTAAGGGTGCCGTGGCTTCAGAGTACAGGGGTTTTTCCCTCTTCGTGTAAGTAAACTTATCCCCTAATATTGGATCAAATATTCCTGCTTGGAGAAAAGTGCTGTCAGCATCTCAGCCCTGTACATTGGGCCTTTTGTGTGGAGCACCGATGCTATACCTAGGTGTTCGGGTTGAAGTGTGACTCAGAAATGTATAAGTTGAAAGCCTAACTCTTAGTACTGCAGCATGTGACCATTTTGGATAGAGTCATTGCAGATGTAATTAGTTAAAATGAGGTCCTACTGGATGGAGTCAGGCAGGCCCTAACCCAAGTGGACTGGTGTCCTTATAGAAAGGGAAAATCGGGGGCGTGCACACATTTACACTGGTAGAACATTATGTGGAGGTGAAGGCATAGACAGGGGCGCTACAGCAGGAGCACAGGACACCGCGACAGCCACCAGTGACAAGGAGAGAAACGGGGGAAGTCTTTCCTCACAGCCACAGCAGGAAACAAGCACAGCTGACACCTCGCTCCCGGACTTCCGGGCTGCAGAACCGTGACACAATGCATGTCTGTAGCCGTCTACCGCAGTGCAGATCACAGCTCACTGCAGCCTGGGCAGCAGAGAGGCCCCGTCTCATGGCCCCATGCCAGTCTTGGACTGTTGACCTGAGTGCCACTCCCACGCACCCCACAGTCTGGTGTCATCACCCCCAGACATCTACGGTGGAATCACGTCTTCATCAGAGACCCCGAATAGTGATGGCAGAACATCAATAACAGGTCCTAGCACAACAATCTGACTCACTAACGTGAAGCGGGCTGTGTCTGGGAAATGCTTTATTGCTGTCACTTTAAAAAGTTGGTAAAACCACAAGAAACAGTTTCAGAGAACCACCAGTTACACGAGCTAGCACGATGGTGGATTTTCTGAAGTTTTAAAAAAAAAATCAACTCACTGTTTCTTTACATCTGTATAAAAGTTTAGACTAGGAAAAATATTCAGAACTCTTTTTACTGATTCTAATTCCTTTATGTATCAAAATTTCGGGTATGTTTAAGAGCATGTGTCTGTTGGACAGAGCCTTATTTTAGCGAACAAAATGTGATTTTTCTCATTCACATGTTTAGCGATCTTAAGAGTCAGTGTTTCACTGAAGACAGAAAAGGAAAAATCCAAGGCTTGGTGCACAGAGCTTCGGTGCCCAGTCTCACCCTTACACGTGCTGTGGAGCCCTTGCTGTGTCCTCCTTTGCCTGGCGCCGTCATTCACGAGGTGGGACCGTATTCTCCTCTAGCAGGTTATGACAGAATGGCTGGGCAAGTTCTTTGAAAAACATGTTCAATCTATATTCTCCTAAGGAAATGCGAAGCTATCTCCGTGTATGCGTGTGTGGAAGCTGCAACTCCTCTGCCACCGTGGCTTGTGAGTCGCCAGCTCTTGGGATCATCTGCTACCAGAAAAGGACAGGCGGGCTGCAGGAGCCTGGAGGAGCAGTGGACAGGGCCTGCCTTGAGGTCTAAAGCCGCAAGGGAAGCCGGCTGTTCTGACCATGACCGGGGTCTAGTTGATTTCTAACAATACTGTTAATGCCGTCAGATGGCTTGGAATGCTCTGAGGCAGGAGTGACTTTACGCATTTGCATATA